TAAGAACTGTGCTACCGCAGCAGCCATGGCTTGGGTAGGGCCTCTAAGCTGTCTCGGCAGAGCGTGTCAAATAGTCAGTTGCGACTATCACAAATTTCTTGCCATTGGTAGACAGTGGAAAAGGGCCGAGAAGGTCCATGCCAACATGGTCAAATGGCTTGTGAGGCGGGTCAATTGGTTGAAGTAATCCAGCCGCCTTACTTGATGGTGACTTGTGACGCTGACATTCACAACAGCCTTCTACATACTGCTTGATGTTTGCCGAAAGGCCCGGCCAATGTATGTCTTGGCTACTCTGGCGAGTGTTCGTGAGTAGCCTAGGTGGCCAGATGTGGGCTCGTCATGGCAAGTGAAGAGGACGTCATCCGACATGTTCTTTTGAATCATGAGGAGGTAGGCGCGGCTCGTAGAGGGGGTGTTTTTCTTATACCAAACGTTGTCTTGAATACAAAAGGATGTGAACACACGGGATAGAGGGTGTGGTATGATTGCAGTATGACCTTCTAAATAATTGATGACTGGTCGAATCTCGTCGTATGGCTGCCGTCTGTTCAAGTCCGATGAGCTGAAGGTGCCTCAGAAACCGTCATCGTATTCTGCTTCCCGAATGATGGGAGTAATTGGTGCACGTGACAACGTGTTCGCCTCTTCGTGCTTCCAGCTAGACTTATAGACGAGGATTATGTCGAATTCTTGTAGGCGCAAACTTCACCGGGCCAGTCGTCCTGAGGGATCACGTAGGTTTGCCAACCAACAAAGGGCATGGTGGTCCGTCACAACTATGAATAGACGACCGTAGAGGTAAGGGCGAAACTTGGTGATCGCCCATACTGCAGTGAGACACTCTTTTTCTGTGGTCGAGTAATTCACCTCGGCACGGGACAGTGAACGGCTCGCATAGGCATTAAATCTTTCCTCTCCATGTTGATGTTGGATGAGCACTGCACCAAGGCTGATGTTACTGGCATCAGTATGCACTTCTGTCTCAGCTTCGTCATCAAAATGTGCAAGAACTGGTGCTGACTCCATGCACTGTCGTAGCTCGGCAAAAGCAGCCTGTTGCTTGTTGTACCAGACAAATTTCGTGTCGTCTCTTGAAAGGGAAGTCAACGATTCCGTTATTTTCGAGAAGACTTTAATAAAGCGGCCGTAATATGGGCACAAGCCCAGGAAGCGTCAGACAGCCTTTTTGTCGGTAGTAGCTGGAAAAGCGACCACAGTGGTAAGTTTGTCAGGACCAGGTCGAACATCTCAGGCGCTCACCACATGGCCGAGGAACTTGACCTCTTCGTACCCAAAGCGGCACTTTTCTGGTTAGAGTGTGAGATTTGCTGATCAAATAGCCCCTAGTACACTCTGTAGGCAGTGAAGATGTTGTTCAAACGTGTCAGCAAAGACGACCACATCATCATGCTAGTAGACGAGACAAGTTTGCCATTTCAGCCCAGTGAGTACAGTGTCCATCATTGGCTGAAAAGTTGCCGGTGCTGAACACAAGCCAAAAGAAAAAATCTCGAAATTCAAGGCCATCGGGGGTCACTAAGGCGGTTTTCTCGCGGTCCCTGTCATTTACCTCAATCTGCCAGTACCCGCTTTTTAAATCCTAAGGGGAAAAATAGTGGGCGTGACGTAGCTTATCCAACGAGCCGTCGATGCGTGCCAGCGGGTACACGTCTTTTTTAGTCACGTTGTTCAGATTCTGGTAGTCGAAACAAAAGCATAGTGTTCTCTTCTTTTTTTTTTTTTTTTTTGACAAGACAACCGAAGATGAGCAAGCACTGTTGGAAGGCTCAATGATGCCAGCGTCAAGCATTTCTTGCACTTCCGTACAAATCGCTTCACATTCTTTTGTTCACAAGCGGTAAGGTTGCAAGTGTATGGGGCGGGTGTTGTTGTACGTGATGATCTGGTGCCGAGTGATGAAAGTCTGACGAACATTAGAAGAACTGGCTAAGTATGAGTGAAATTCAAGCAAGAGCTTCCACAGTGCTGTCTGGTTCTCAGATGATAGGTCATATGTTGATAGTGCCCTTTGGTGTATCCGCAGTCTCCACTGCTTCAGATGTAAAGCAGTTCCAAACGTTTGCAAATGCTAATGAAGTACCATGGAAAAGGTGTCAATGTTCATTACTGAAATTCGTGAGAAGCAACTGAGATAACTACATCGGCCATCGCGAAGCTGTATAATACTCCGAGCTGGACAAATACCTCAGGTCAGTAAGTGGTCCGAGTTACTTTCTGCGACCGCTTCACCATTTTCAAACCCACAACACGTGACGTAAACTATAACACAGGCCCACAGAGGGAGCGTTGCACTGTCAGCAAAAAAATGAAGAACGTCCAGGCACCATTGATAGTCATGCTCGTCGATTGCCCGGTCGACTAAGAAGGTGATGCGACGCTCTTGGAGATTAATACCAGCCCCATACTCCTGGTGCATGTCGACATCGAGAATACCATGACGGGAACATTCATGTAGCACAAGGCAACTTGCTACAAAAGTCGATCCATAAATCTGAACTCTACTCGTGCAGGTTCCTATTGGAGTGACAACGTGGCTGGCAGCTGTTAGAATTTGCGGGCCATGCCAGAACATCATTACCTTTTGAGAAGTGTGGCCAATTTTGCACTTAATATAGAATTGTAAGTATCAAGTGTCTACTAAGGCACTAACTGCATAACCGTCGATCAGCACCACTATAATGAGAGAAAATTGTTCTGTCGTATCTGCACACTTCCTTGCTTGCGTCGATCGGAGGTCTTCAGCACGTCGAGTGCCAGCGACCTCACCCCCAATAGTCGCTTGAGTTGATTTTCCCGGCGGGTACTGGGGGATTGTGTGCCAGCAGATTGCTGGGGCGGAGGCGAAAAGCGCTTCAGTGAAGGTCAGCGCGAGTGGCACTCACCAGCAGGTGGCATGCACTGCTGAGCCAGGTAGTCCTCAATATCCTGGGGTAGCTGACCATACCGCGGAAGCAGTGAATATGCAGAAAAGCCCCGCAGCCCCAGATGCCGGTATGGACATTGTCGGTACAAATCATTAGCTTCACTGCAGTGGAAACATAAAGGTTGGCGACCTGGAGTGCGCCAAACATTGCATTTGCGAGAGGATGGGCATCTATCATCCAGGTAGAGATCAGGTTGCTCTGAATGAAGTGCACTAGCACTGGCATGAACAAAAGATGGGGACAGATGCGAATCTTCTTAGTATTGTAGTGGCTGCATCGCCTGAAACCACAGGAGGTGGAAAAATGTACAGAGGGGGAGTAAATGTGGGACGCTTCAGGCCTTCTGGGGTAATTCATCCTTTATGATACTTGCTATGGAGCTTACCTTCGGGACAGGTGGTACAGCAGCCTTTTGCAACTCGTCACGCACTATAGAGAGAATGAGTTCTCACAGACACTCAGTACTGCTATCGATAGCTGTGAAAAAACTTCAGTCTTGGAAGTGCTGTTGATTTGCCGCTCATACTAAGTGGATCGATGCTGAAGCATCTTCTCCATTGTGACCACCTCAGACGAGAACTGGGCGACCACCTTCGAAGGTGGTCTCCCCTACCTTCTGCGGGCTCTGCAGTGTGTAGCTGCGCCTTCCATACCAATTGCAGTGGTCTGGACGATGCGCCTTCCATACCAATTGCAGTGGTCTGGACGAAAGTGCTGGTCATACCGCTAGAAGTGGTGCAAACCGGAGGTAATACCCTGATCTTGCAGGTTGCCTGACGCACAGGTGCGTTGACTGGCACAGGGCTTGCAGGGCGACTACGTGGAAGGGTGTGAAGCATCCGTGAGGGCTACCCAGCACTTCTACCAATTGTCACATCTTTTTAAAAGTCCAGGTGAGGTTTATTAGATATAGGGGTAAAGCAGCAGGATTCTTTACAGACACCTCGCTTGGGCATGCACTCAAGAGATGGATAGAGCGTGCATTTCTTTTGTGTTCTGTGCCTCTGCATGACCACGCCACCCACTATATAATACAGGTGGCAATATTGTTACATGGAAATAACACTAATTCAGTCTTAAACCACAGCCAACAGGGCTCATGACCGAACATCAACCGTCAACTTCAATGCTATTCTTGAGGCCTTTTTAGATCTCTCTCACTATACACTAAGAATGCTAGTTAAAATCATGCAACAATATATTTTATGCCATCCTAAATAAATACACGTTATTTTACAATGCTCATTCAGCAACCACGGCCGGCACAATGTGTTGCCGACTGGTCACCCCAACGAGTGTTTGGCGCGCTCGGCATTCACTCGTCCGCCGACAGGTGGCCCGAACTACGCCACCAACCAAGTGCAGATGTAGCCGGCAGCGCACCTCGGGTCGACCCTTTTCGAATGTCTGGGGGCAAGTGAAGTTGGCTGTCGTCTACATCCCAGCAATCTGCCGATTGTCAGCAGTCGGCCAAGGTTTCTTGGGGCCATTGGTAATTTTATTGAACAGAAATTTTTCATTGTTTTACTAGGAGCGTTATCGGCGCTGCTTTCGTAATTCATTTGAAGCTTGACTTAAGCGAAAAGTGATCGCAAACAGCGAACGACGCGAGCATATGTTATGTAAGCACGCCACAGCAGGCGTCACAGCATCCTTGCCTTGACGTCGTCAAGGGATCCCACCAGGCAGCGCCACCTCAGGGCTAATGCCCTGCTACTGAGTGACCATAATTGTTTTAGAGTATTAAAACGGGTGAATATGATCTGTCTCTAACAGATGTATTTTAAAGAATATTTTCTCGTTTTACAATTTCCTTTAAAGAAACTACACACACTGCAGGCCTTTGTCCAGCAGAGTGTGTAGTAAGGCTGATGATAGTGATGACCATAGCACCAAGTTGTGCCTGCATTACTCCAAGCGGATGACAGCCCGGGTGGGCCCATAGAGTGCTCTGCACTCAATAAATCTATCTGCACGTGTGTTTTACCTCAACCAATCAGTTGACCCACATTGCTATGGGTCAAACAATCTAAAAAAAAAGGCAGCCAAAGATAATGTAGTCAATCAAGTAGCTTATCCATATTTATTTTCAGGCACAATGGTTATGAATGCAATCGGCATATTTCTTTTGCTGTAAGTAGGGCAGTCAAACCAAAATACAAGGCACTTTGACAGCATTTTGACAACTTATTATAGTAACGGGTCAGAAAAAGATGGGCAAGACCTCCTGGATTTTTAGCCAGGTCTATTACTACTACATTACTACAATACACACCATTAAGCCAAGAATCAGTACACTAAATAAAAGCACAAGTGTTAATTTCTGGGACGCACAAAAAGTTAAAAAACACTGCATGTAAGCAAGCTATGTCTTAACACAGCAGTATTTAGGTAGCAATACCCCATAAGTCGTGGAAAATGGCATTTGTTCTTAACATGAAAATGATAGTGATGGTTGCTGTAGCATTTCAGCACAAAGCCCTCATAATGATGCAAAATGAAAGGTTACGCATCAAATTAAAACCTGGGTCTTGTTCCAAAACAGCAAAAACTTGGCACTTATCTCCGTGTTCATCACATAAAGTCACCAATACAGGGCGTGTGAAAAGAGCAGGACCAGCACACGACTTTGTAAAGGACAGCGACATAATTAAAGTGTAGTTTTGTACTTGGGCCTTTGGTAGTACATATTGTTATGAAGAAGTGTACCTGCAAGTGGAAACCGAGAGAAACTGGAGTAGAAGAGGAGAACGACGACGCTGCTTCTGTGATCACCACAGTCTTTTGTGTCACCGCTCTCATTAAACTTCCCCTCCAAACCTTGCCTGTGAGAGCAACAGATTGGTGGAAGGTGCGGGTTACGATGTACCCAACAACGTAAGTACTACTATCTGAACTTTGCTGCAGTGGCCGCCTTGCCAGACTTCTGCCATTGCCTATCGAGATGTCTTAGGACCAGAGCTCTCTGGTGCTTCAAGGGCGACACCGATGGATTCCCTGCTGTACTACCGGGGTTCACCGAACTTTGGCGGGATGTTTGTCGAGAATGTGGACGACTGGCTGAAGAAATAAATACAGTAGGGTGAGCCGAAGCAATGGCTGGGACACGACAGAACAGCTCAGCCTTGTTGTGTTCTCACTAACTGACACAGCTCTGGCGTGGCATGAAAACCATGAAGACATTTTCATGCCTTGGGATCGTTTTGTTGAAGAAGTAAAAAAAGTGTTTCAGAGATTTTTAACACAAAGAAGAAGCGGGCAGAGACGACATTAGCACAAAGAGCACATTGAAGAAATATTGAAGCTCTGCAACACAGTTAATGCCAGTATGCCTGAAGAGGATAAGGTCGGACACATTTTGAAAGGGATTGCAGAAGATCTATACAATTTTCTAATTGGAAAAGAGAGCTTGACCTCGATGTCTGAAGTGGTGAAGCACATTTGAAACGCTAAAGATGCGGCTGATAGCGCCAAAATGTGGCCGCCTCTCTAACGTCCCAGCGGCGTCAGATGACCTCCTGTCAACAATTTGGGAGATTGTGAGAGAAGAACTGCTCCGATGTCAGCAAATCTTTCATGTGTCTTGTGGCTTGAGTGACTTTCAGGATGGCTATGTACAAAACGCACAACCCGCACAAACTCTAGCTTCTATAGCTCCATGGCAACCACCAGTGAATTCAGCAGATTCTACAGGGCACACGGCAATCTGCCTTCTCGTATCGGCCACCCTCTAATGAAGAACGCCGCTCGCGACCACCTCGTTTCACTAAGCGAATGTCAGCTGGCTATGGCATACATAAAGAGCGCCACTACCATCTTGGGCCTACTCAAAGAACTGGTTACTCTGAGCAGCCACGAGCGTCTCGACCTCTTCCCGTGTGCTACAGCTAGTGACGTCGCCGCCCATACATCAGGGTTTCGCAAGTGCCATCCTTCATATGAGCGACGTCCTTTGCCCGTGGCTAACCAGTCTTTTGACTGTAGGTACACTTCTTTGTAACAATGTCACTTCTTCGCAACAAGATAAATTTTGTACGTTTTTCAAGCTATGACATGTTCAATTATGCCTTTGGCATGGTGCTATTCAACAAAGCTGCTACAGAAGAAACCCTGCTCACCTCAGTGCCAGAAACTGAACAGTGGTCACACTGGGAACTGCAACGGACAAGTCTAGAATTATTCCTGATGTGTATTAAAAGACAGACCTTCGCAGGCTGCTACTATGTGAGTGACATGAGGGAATGCAAAACAAAAATGCACAAGTACCGCACCCTGAACCTTAAGACAATTCACTAACAATTATTTAGTTGTATCGATGCTGGTGCATTGCCAGGGCCACACACACAACAATTACTACATTCGGTATTTTAACCCGTGCTGTAGAGAAGGTAAGAAAAATAAAAAATTTTTACCACTGGATAACAACATCGAGAGCATGGGCAATTCACAAAAAAGTGAGTGTCACAAGAGCCACAATATTTGACATTGCTACATTACGGCACACTCAGGTTATGTCTGCCATTTATTATAACACATGTAAGTCAGATACAGCATGTGAAGCAGGCACAGTGAGTGGCACATTTAGTCAAACATCACTTTAAAGCTATTGACCCAAAACTTGTCATGGGAAGCCACTGAAAAGGTCAAATTACGCCTATGCCATATCTCGCTAAAGAGGGTTATGCAAAGCAGCGGGGAAATAGTTCGCTCGAGTGGCAGCTGGTGTACCGTATTTACTTGCGTAATGAACATACTTTTTTTTCTCGAAAAATCAAAGCAAAGTTGGGGGTGCATTTATTATGCGTGGCATAATTTAGGCAAACTTTTTTAAAAAGAGCCCAAAATGCGGTAATCGGAAAAAAAAAGAAAAAAGTAAGCTCGCTTCTTTGTTGAACTTCACTCACGGTGCTATCTTCAGCAAGCTGTCCTTGTGCTGCCCGCACACTCTATCAAAGCATTTCGTGGCTTTCTTTTCTCGCAATTGTTTAACTGCAACAGTGGTATTTGCTCTGACCTCGAGAGGCTCTGAGAAGCATGCGCTATGTCAAACTTTGCTAACTTCGGGCAACCTTGCACGATGACCACGCCGCCGCCGTTGACATTGCAGCAAGCGACCACCAAAACATCAAAATGAACCGTCGATAAGAAGTTAATGACAAAAAAGGGCCCCTGTCTCACTCTCTACATGAGAAGTTACTGTAGGAAAGGTAGCATATATCTTGCAATCATTGAAGTACGCACGGATAAGTATAAAGAGCAAATTGTCACCGAGGCAATATATAGGGGTGCTACCATGTTGGAAAAATCGCGATATTTTTTGGGCAACAAGTGATTTTTTTTCTGGTTTTCCAGAAACCTGCAACGCGATGACGACGAATGGACCTTCACGACAGTCATTGCGACAGCAAATCCTGTTGTCATTGCTCGAAAATTGCGTGCATGTGGTTGGGCCTTTTGTATTTGCAGGAAGCATCAGTCTGATGGCCTGGGCAGTTTCGTGACATTCGATTGCTGTGCGCTTGTCAGCTGTGATGTCTAAACACTTCCACCGTTCATGAACCCCACTGTGGCGCGCAGGTAATTGAAAAAACAGAGAACGTGCCGCACACAGAAAAAAAAAACAGTACAGCACGCGGCAGCAGCGAAGGGGGAGAGGGAGTGAGCCGAGGCCGTTGATGGGGGTCGGCATAATATTAAAAAACCATCGAGATCCAATGGACAAGGAGGTGCCAGGGTGTCTGTTAGCAGGACTGCAGCGAATGAATGTGAGGGCACATTTATTACGAGGGAGGAAAAAAAATCTAATTTTGACGACTGAAAGTGGGGGTGTGGTTATAATGCGAGTGCTTTCATTAGGCGAGTAAACAGGGCACCTTACTGAGAGCTCGTGCTGGCAGTAACGCTGATACTGGAGGCAGCGTTAACACTGGCGCTCATGGTGGCATTGCACAGAAGAGAATGAGGCGCGTGGGCCCTGTCAATTTTATACTGCGAAACTGCAGTGGTGCCACCAACGGAGTATACAGCTGTTGCACCATCTGTTGTGCATGCCGTTCCATCGAGCAAAGGATTCCCAGAGGAGAGAGAGGGCGAGGGACCACACATGCTGAGAAGGCACCACGAGAAGAAGTGAGGGAGCAATGGACACAGCTCTTGTCATTAACTGCTTTGCATCTAAAGAAAAATTGATGCCACTACAAGCCCCTTGTTTACAACCAAGTGTTGTCAAGGTATGCGTCACTTGGTTCGTCTTTGATGCGTACGAAACGCCATCCTGCCTTGGTCAAGTGTACTTTGACTCAATTCCCCCGTCGTACTACTAGTGCTCAGTGGTTAGCTTGCTCATTCATTCAGAACAATGTGCCTACTTTGATGAGAGAAAGCTGCAGAGACTGCTTAGGAAAAGTATGAGCACCAAAAGCTTATTCAAAGAAATTTCCCATTGAACGCTGAGCAGAACGCTCATCAAAAGATGGACCTGTGTGCACCAAGAAAGAGGCGTTTATTAAAATAAAAATAACGAAGCCTGCAGCCCTTTCTGAGCATGGTCAAGAAATGGTGCCGATCGGTAGTTGAGTATACAGAGAACACGCAAGATAAATAGTATTGCACCTCACGTGGCCCTAATAAATTCTCACTCGACTATCAATTGCTTTCTCTTCTCTCGCCAAATGATGCGACAAGCTCAAAAATCACGTCACAGTCACTGTACCTCGCTCCTTACTGGGCCCGCCGTTGGTGGCCGTCCATGCATGTGCACGCAATTGAACTGAAAAGTTGCATGCCATCCATCCCTGCTTAACTTCCAGTGTTTTCGTTGGGACGAGAGAAAATGGAATGACAAGCGTACGACAAATATTTGCAACTCTGCTCGTATTGTATGGATTCGAAAAATCTTGTAGCAATGAATTTGTGAGGCAATAAGCTTCTTTACTGAATCCATTACATGGCTACTTGAGAAAGTGTTGAGGCGCCCCTTTAAAAGACAGGAAGAAAGCAGTGGCTAGGCACGAAAATATGGTCATCATAGTTGAAATCAAGAGGATGAAATAGATGTGAGCTGACATGTAGCGCGTAGGCAGGATTCCAAGACAAGCCCAAGGGGGAGACAGGTGGCAGCTGAGATTAAGGAGTTTGCAGGTGGCAAGCGCAGGACCAGGTGGGAAGAGGTCTTCATTTTGAAATTGGCGTAGTCAAGCTGATGATGATCACAAAGCAGCTACGGGTAAAGTCCTAGACAAGCAAGTGGGGGGTATAAACTATGCAAGCAAGCGTTATCTGATTAATCTAAAGGATTTGTTTCCGTGCACGAAGCTTCTTCCGTGATTCGGGTATACATTATTTGGCATGTGGATGTGCGCCATTACATGTGTTCTGCCAGCCAGCTCAGCTGTTGAGGAAACCCAGCGGCACCATGGTCGTCACCATAGAGTTTCGTACTAGTTATTACTCAGGGAGAAAACTAATTCTGAGACACTGGCACATGTAAGAATGCTGATTTATGTTGGATTAGCATCATTCACAATTGGGCTGGCTCAATTGCGAATGATGAATTGTGAATGGCTACAGGGCTCGTAGTAACAAATGCTTTTGTTAAACATTCTCAAACATCATATCACTAAATCAACAGAGAAAATGCTCATATCTCAGCCACAGAAAGGAAACCAAAAGCACGATGCCACTTTATATCACCGATACAGATAATTTTGTATAGAGAGCTAGAGACTTTTTTCAGAAGCTTTTACTTAGTCAGCATTTCCATTGTGAACAAGCAGTGATAGTGAAAAACAAGAATAAAAAAAGTACTGTATTTTTTCACTGTGGCTTGCTACTTTTCAATGTCTGGACAGCATTTAATCAAAGGCTAGCGTATGCCATCAGCGGTAGTGCCATACTTCGCCAGCCGCAGCTGTCGGAGCCGCTCGTGGGCCTCCTCGAGCTCCCGCTCCTTACGCAAAATCTCTTCGCGAGCACCAATCTCTTGGGCAATGCCGCCCACCATGCGCTGGTTAATGACCAGTCGGAACTCCTGCTCCTGTGCAATGGATCGCTGCGCTGCACGCACGAGATGGTCAGTGGCCTGCTTGACTGCATTGCCGGCCGCCTGCAGGCCTCGCATCGATGACGAGTCTGGCTCTGCCTTCACCTGCAGGCATTTATTTACAAGCACAAATAAAGGTCTGCACTAGGCTAGTACGAATAGTGATTTGGTTCAAATAATTTCAAATCAATAATGTATATTGAATATTATATTGAAAAACAAGCATATTTGTCATGACCCAACAAACCTGCACAATATTGTTTTAAAATAGAAAGAAGATTTGTGTATATGTCATTCTTTTTGTTTGAAAAGAAGTGGCAGAACTTTAAATAGTAGCAGAATTTTACTTTTAGTAGAATGCAAGTAAAAACTTGTAAAATACAGAGCAATTTAGGATATGCTATACTTAAAATATGTATTCTAGTATAGCAAGCTTTTACACTTGAAAAATGATGAATTGATATGAGAGCAATATGTACAATTAACTTTGAAGTGGGGCTTCACAGCAGCACGGATTTTCCCTGGATAGGTGTAATCACAGTAAAGCACCCCTCTACTAAAGTAGAACCACCTTTAAAAAGACTCCTTACGGACTAATATACTTTTTTTTAAATATCGAATAATTCGAAATTCACAATAACTTAGGTTCAAAATGATTTCAATTATTGTAATATTGTCCGAATACTTAATAATTGCACAAGGCTCATCAATGCAATGAAAATACCAAAATAGCATACAAATACAACTTAGTTCAATACTAAAACACGTGCTACATCATGCAGGCTTCAAGTGAGGAAAAATCATTGAACACAAAACGTAGTTGGAGCCAGTGTTCCAAGAAGAAAACTTCAACATTGCCAACTTAACAAAAACAAATAACATGCCTTGTTTAACAATGCCATCACATAGCATTCACTTTGGCTTGTCTTACATTTTCTTGTGCTGTCCTTTACATGTTCAGCCAAAGCAACAATCCCCTTAGCTAGAATGATACTAACATAATGTCCAAAAAGAGTGTGCTTAGTAAAAAAAGAGGGAACAGAGAGTAGTGTAGGAAAGTGATAGCAAACATGCAATATTCAGTCGAGTGCCTCTGACCTCCGCCAAATTACAACATGCTTGGATACACTTCACATGATGTGTGCGACACACGTGATAAAGTGACACCACAAAAGAAACTCAGTTGGCCAAGTTTCACATTGTAATAGCAATAATATGATCATTGCATGGACATTTTTGTTGTGCCGTCAAGGCAGGCATCAGCATCTCCATGAGGTTTCGTAAAAAAACCTTATTTTGTGCGTGAAAGTGTGCGAGAGCAGTTGACAATCACAGCTCGAACATAGTAGAAAAACGCTGGCCATCTTTCGTTGTACCGATCGCAGAAACTCCACACTCTGATTGGCCAGGCACAGTCGCATGTGCACTACATTGACAGGAATCAGCAGATGGCTCACCGCTTCGTATGCACTGCCTTCTGCTATGTTTCTACTGAACTGGACACAGAAGGCAGAAGAGTAGGTCTGAAAATTAATACAGCCCAAACCCGCAATAACGAAATCGCCGGGGAAGTCGAAAAATTTCGTTTTCGCGAGAATTTCGTTGTCGCGAATATTAGGCATAAAAACAGTGATACGGCCTCCAGAACGAAAATTTATTGCCAGAAGTCGGTCAACTTACTTTGCCGACCCTTGCCATGCAACAACTTTAAAGCTCCCCCTCCGCACTGGAAAAAAAAGTCCATTGCTACGTCGTTGCCATGTGCGCCGAAGAAGGAGCGAAGGGTGTCCAGCACATCCAAAACAACCCGTGGGTTGTTTTGGATGCGCTAGCACGTCGTTCCTGCCCACAATCTCGCTTAGTGCTAAAGCCAACTCCGATGATGCGCCGCGCTCGTAGACCGCGTGCTCGCTCGCAGTAATCTTATCGTCCATCCGGTGCAGCCACTCGTAGTAATTTGACCGTGCTGCCGCTTACAGCTTCGTTGCTTGCGACGAAGGACGTCGCCACGAGTGCGCTAGCGCATCGTTCCTGCCCGCAGTCTCGCTGTCGGTGGAGTGAGGGCTAAAGAGGACTCCGACGACGCGTCGCGCTCGTAGTAACCTGATCGCGCATCCACCTACAGCTCCTAACTAAAGCGTAATTATATCTTAAGTGATCATCGAGCCGTGAACCAGTCACGAAGTAGCAATTTTCGAGAGCCATGTCCTCGCGACGCACAAGGAGCAGACGACGATCGCCTGGAGCGAGCATCGGGCCAATGGGGAGGCGAGCTGAGGCAACATGGTGGCCACAGCCAGTCAAAGGCATCGAAACATGGAGGAAAACGACCTTAAACATTTGCTTTTTGTGCAATTGCTTTCAAAGAGAGGAGCCAGCTGAGGCGGGAAAGTTAAACGCGGAGAAATGTTCTTTCCGATGAGTCCAAGAATCGCTGTTTTCTCGCGATTTCCAGAAAAAGTTCTGCTACTTAGGTGGGTGAAATGAACTTTCCGAAGCACTTCTGCGCGGTTTTCAGTGTAGATATCTTGTGTAGTGTAGTGTAGTAGTGTATCTTGTGTAGTGTAGTGTAGATAGAAAAAGGGTTCAAGAAACTGAAAACTTGATTTTCAAAAAAAAAAAAAAAGATCTTTTTGCCATTTTTCGCGATCCTAAAGCCGCGTCCCCCCTGAAGTAAACGAAAATGGCGGTAGTTCGGTTTGCATAAGCAAGAAACTGCTACTTGACAGGTGAATTTTTCTTTTCACAATAACATCTTATGGCAACAGGAATGACAGCTCTTCACACACCCACCTTGCAAGCAACAAGAAGCTGTGCCGTGGAGCTGGCCACCTGCTTGGCCGAGGAGATGAGCTTCTCTTCCGATGCCTGGCCCTGCACCAGCCAGTTTGCCGACTCTACCAGGCTGTGTGTGGCTGCTGCGACAAGGCGAGCCTGCACCAGACAAAACCACATGCCTCTCATTTCTCCAAACAACAGTCTTATGGTTGCATATATAGTGATTTGATGAGACACATTTGCTAAAAGCAATATTGAATACGTCATTATTTGCTATCTTTAGTGGGGCAATGTCATTGCAAATTCAGCTACAAAGGGAAAAACAAATTTTATGAACCATTAAACTTCGATTGATCAGTGGGGTTTAACGTCCCAAAACCACCATATGATTATGAGAGACGCCGTAGTGGAGGGCTCCGGAAATTTCGACCACCTGGGGTTCTTTAACGTGCACCCAAATCTGAGCACACGGGCCTACGACATTTCCGCCTCCATCGGAAATGCAGCCGCCGCAGCTGGGATTTGAACCCGCGACCTGCGGGTCAGCAGCCGAGTACCATAGCCACTAGACCACCGCTGCGGGGTGAACCATTAAACGTCGATATCAACAAGTTGGTAAGGTCGACCTTACCTTCAGAACGTTTTTCAAATAAAATATGACGTTTTTTGCAAATTAGCCCTTTTATGCTCAAGGAATCAGTAAGAGGTTCTGGCAGGCCTGTTGCTTTGTAGCTTTTGAACATTTCATAAGACAGCACAAAATGAGGAGGACTAGGGGTGTGCAAATATTAGAAATTTTGAATATTTTCTGAAAAGTGCTTGCTCTTCAACTTGATTTGCAGCAGGATTTTACTATTCAAGCTTCTTTGGCAGGGGCCCCTTCAGATTGTCAATATTGTCATGTAGGTGAACCAGCCTATGCCTTGTCAGACAGATACGTAGGCTACGTCACAGCAAAGAAAATTTATTAAGCAAACTGGTGCCTAACAGAAGGAAGAACTTGAGGACAGTAGCAAACGCGCGGCCAAATGGCACGAGACAGATTGCCTCGGGGGGTCAATGGGGCAGTCCCTCATCTTGTTCTTTAGTCGCAACACAGTCCGGCTTCACCCTGCCAAGGGCAATGCTTGACAATATACAAGAAAGATGAAGCTGATAAAGAAGCCAGTAACACATTCCAGTCCTGCTTTTTGTAAATGCACATGGCATTGCCCCTTTGTGAATAATACATTGATTCTAAAGCAGGACATTGAAAATGAAGCAAGAAAATTGTCAACAAGTCACACTTCCATATTGCAGCAAAGCTGCTTTTCAGGCTCTACTGCAGTATTGTATTGTCTCAAGAAAACGTATCGACTCAAATATTGTCTCATGTCAAATGTATTTAATCAAGAAAATGTTAGTTCCAACATCAAGGCTTTAGTAGCAGTGACAGAGGTGGGAGCCTTTTGGACTTGAAATTTGAGCAAGTATGAAAAATCAGATGCTGATTCTTAGCACCAGAAATTACAGATGTTTTGATATGATGATGTCTACAAGACAGATTTGGAACTCCTGACTTGAAAGAAGCATGCCTTTGTTTGCTACATTAGTTGTGGCTTGAAAAAAAAGGAGAGGCTGAGAAAATAGTGTCTTTGTCTATTACATACTGTTAAGTATTGTTGGCAGCATGGTGGTCGCAACAAATCATTTACATGAATATAAATCAACCTCTGCATTGCCTCATTATTGATAAGACTACTACGAAACGCCTACAACCAAGCCAAAAAAAAAAAAAAAACGCTTTGATGTTGCTCTCTCATAAGGGTGTAAATGGCCTCAAACTTTTTTTTTCTTCAAAGAATCCAGAAGACAATCTAGATATATTTGAAAAATATCGTATTTAATTTGCATTGACACTTGAATTCACTTTGCGCAATTTTGCTATTCGCACAGTACTAATGAGGACCATGTTAATAGGGGTTGCAGCGCAAGCATGAAACGGTTGGAAGAAATGCATACTGAAAGTGATGATAATGATGATTAGTGGAGTTTTGTGGTGCAAGGGCCATGGGTGGCCAAAGAGCGCCATGTCTTTGATGCGATGTAATTGATGACTAATGATTGCGATAAGATGGTGTATTACGGCTGTATAGAGGCCTAAAATCAGGTGCTGTATAAAAGCATAAAATATGTGTATAAAGTTTAAAATTACGACAGTGATACGCAATTTGATGTAGAAGGTGGAATGAATCACAAGTGACCATGATTTCTACAAGTGAGCGATCATAAAATAGCACGAATGCCTCATTGACCCCTTTGAAAACCAAAGGGTGAGAGGCAGGTGCTTCTCAGAGTAGCTACCGCAGCAACAACCTCTGCGGAGAGGTTATGCTACGGATTTCCTTTGTATATAATGCTGAAGTTTTGAATTTCATCTAAAAACGCAAATAGTGACTGATAATTAAAAAGTGGTTCCTTGTCAATGAACATCCCAGGATGAAGTGGAATGTGTTCATGATAAGCTAACGAAAAATGCTTTTTTCTAATAGAGTCTAGTTCGATGCATTGGATGAGAATGCGGTTGACAGTAAGTGATTCCTCACATCTATCACACAAAAGTGGATCGCCACCGCACAAAAGGTGTGAGTGTGTGCTGTGAGTATGTCTTGATTGTAGCCTTGTAAGTGTAACTACTGTGTGGCATGATTTTGATACTGGCAGCCAATCACCAAGGAACCGCTTGATGACGTGTAATTTATTTTCTCTGTAATTATCCCATGTGCTCTGCCAATAAGCTTTAAGCTTTCGTTTAAGATATTGTTTTAGAAAGAGCAGAAGCAGCTATGGATGTATTAACAGCACTGTCGTGAACAGATGCGGCTAGCGGATCCGCCATCACGTTACTTTGGATCTCGCGGTGTCCTGGCACCCAGCACACTGTAACATGCTGTTTATACTGGTACACTGTGCATAGTAGTGAATAAAGTGAGACAAGGACCAGGTTTTTGTGTTTTTTAAGAGTTTTCAGAGCTTTTACAATGCTTAAGGAATCTGTGTAGATTACTGCCTTTTTTGTGCTTAACGACCGCAAGTATCGCAAAAGCTTCTGCGGCGAAGATGCTTGTGTTAGTATGCAGAGCGCCAGCATCCAAAAAGGATGGACCGACCGCTGCGTACGAAACAGAAGTGTAAGACTTTAAGGCATCAGTAAAAAATTCAGGACAAGTGTATTTATGTTGGAGCTCCATGAAGTATGTGTGGATGTGCGCAATGGGTGCATGCTTTGTAACCTCTAAGAATGACACATCGCAGTCTATTGACTTCCACTGCCATGGTGGCAAGTGTGCTGCAGGAGCCATCAAAAGGTGGTCAAGTGGCACACCAATTTCCTGAGCAAGGCCCCTCACACGAATCGAGTAGGGTTGTCGCAGCGAAGGCTGATTGTAAAACAGTGCAAAACTCGACATATCATTAATAGTCGAATGTGTAGGGTGTTCTTTTGTCTGCATTCACTTTGAAATAATATAGCAAGAACATGTAAGATCTCTGAAGCTGCAACGACCACTCATTCGATTCTACGTACAGGCTCTCTACAGGACAAGTGCGAAAAGCACCCGTGGAGAGTCAAATGCCTAAATAATAAAACCGAGTCAAGCATTTTCAAAGCGCTTGGTGTGGCAGACTGATAAACAATCACCCCATATTCTAAGCATGTGCGTATGAGGTTTTTATAAACATTCATGAGACATTTTCTGTCACTGCGCCACGATGTGCGCGACAAGACCTTTAGTACATTCATAGCTTTCAGGCATTTGTTTTTGAGATTTTTTTATGTGCGGTACGAATGTCAATTTCATATCTAAGGTTATGCTTATAAATTTGTGTTCAGTTTTCACATCAAGTCGATGGCCGTGAAAGTGAATAGTCAGATCAAGATGAAAACCTCTCTTTCTTGAAAATAAAACACATGTGTTTTTTTTTCGTGTGAAGGGTGAACCCATTCTCATCTGCCCATTTAGTAACCTTATTTAAACCAAGTTGAAGCTGCCGCTCGCAGGTTCCAAGATTGCAGGATTTAAAACGGATCTGAACATCGTCGACCTATGTGCAATAAAAGATATTGCATGAAATGTGGGATTGTAAGGTAGTCATTTTTACAATAAAAAGCGTGCAGCTCAAGACACCACCTTGCGGCACTTCCAACTCCTGGACAAATGTTCGTGACAGGACATTCCCCACCCGGACACGAAAAGTACGGTGGACAAGTAACTTTCAATTATGGTCAGCATGTTACCTCGGACACCAAAGTGCGAGAGGTTTGCAGTATGCCGAAGGGCCAGGTGGTGTCATAAGCCTTTTCTATATCAAGAAAAAATGAAAGATAGAATTTATTATCGACAAAAGCATCACGAATTTGCGCTTCGATTCGTAACAGGTGGTCAGTAGCGGATCTATCCTCACAAAATTCACACTGGTATGGGTCCAGTAGGTTGTTTGTTTCCAGCAAATGTATAAGGCAGCGGTTAATCATTTTTTCGAAAAGTTTACACAAGCAGCTTGTGAGGGCGATAGGCCTGTAGCTTGTGACGGATGATAGATCTTTGCCTTGTTTTAAAATCTGAATAATAATGGCTTCTTTCCAGGCAGAAAGAATCTCACCGGAAAACCAAATGGCATTATACAAGGAAAGAAGCGCTTTTTGTGTTTCAGAGGGCAGGTGTTTTAGCATTTCATACACTACTCGGCCGGAGCCTGGAGCGGATTTATTACAGCAGTTTAGCGATGCCTGTAGCTCAGCTAAGATGAAATGTTCATTGTATGGTTCGTGTTTTGTAGGTTTCTGTTCTAGTTTCCGTTTTCTTATTATTGTTTTGTATCTCTGGAACAAAGTGGTATAGTGCGACAAGCTGGAGACCTGTTCGAAGTGCGCCCCGAGAGAGTTCGCCTGGTACTCCAGGCTGTCGCCTTGTGTGTTCACAAGAGGAAGCGAATGAGATTGCCACCCTACTACCTTACCTACCAAGCTCTAGACCCTCGTCTCTTGTGTATATGAAGTGATTCCGGACAAAAACTTATGCCAGCTTTCTTTTCTCGCCTGTCTGCGTGTTCTTCTGCCTTGTTCATCTTAAAGTTGTCAAGGTTCTCGGCTGTCGGTGAATCCCTGAGCAACTTCT